ATTAATTCTGTACAAATATTGCCCTCATGGTAGTTGGTATTGAGCGTTTAGTAAACGTCCACAAAATAAACAATAAGGGACTTATTCCTCATTCAAAGGCTCAGATCAAATTTTAAAATCGCAAACACCACTGAAGCCAAGTTCCAAGCTAGGCTGCAAATATCTGACAAATAGATTTTCTGAATTCAGAGACTAAAAAAATATATAGTTTTAACAATGAATTGAACGATTTCCTTTTGTCCTGCGTCCCATGCCCTTCGCTTCAGAGATGATAAGATCACAGGGGGAGAAGGCAGGTGAGCTCCGCAGGCTGCCCCTCGGCGGGGACAGGCAGCCGTGGGCGGGCTGCGCAGGAAGGAAGGCACCTGCTGCCCAGCCTCGCCCGCCCCGGCCCTGCCTCCGCGGTGAACCCCCCAGGGGCCGCGCCGGGAGGCCCGGGGGCGGGGCGGGGGCCCGGCGGGCGCCTCGCACCGGGTCGGGTCGGGCAGTGACCTACGCCCCGGGCGCTGCTGTGGAGGGAGAGGCTGCGGAGAGCCCCGAGCTTGTCCTTGTCGGGCGCCGAGGGGAAGGGGGTACGCACTTGAGGCTTCACTGCTCTGAGGGCGGACAGCGGGCGGCCTCCAGGGGAGTCCCAGGAGCAGCCCCCGGAGCAGGGACGGGGCGGGCGCGGCACTGGAGGACCGGGAGCTGGAGGAGGACCGGGAGCTGGAGGAGGACCGGGAGCTGGAGGAGTGGACACTCACCCCTCGGACTTCTCAACCGCCTCCGCCCGGCAGGGCTCGCGCAGCACCCAACGCCAGGCCCAACCGCACCGCACATTCCCTCCGCGCTGCCCCGCCCCGGACACGCCCCTCCGCCCGCCCCTCCCGGACACGCCCCCTCCCAGCACGTGTCCCTCCCCACCCCCCCATCCCCCAGGCCTTGTGCCTGTGCCCTTGCGCTCGTGCCCGGGCCGCCGCTGGCCACTCGGCTGACCCACCTGCAAACCCTCCTCCTGCTCCTCTGGGCCGACCCCGCCCCAACGGCACCTCCACCTTCGGTGCACCTACCGGCTGGGTCACAGGTTCCGAATGCTGACCCTGCTGTCGGGTGTCCTGTGACTGCCTCGCGGTGCCAGGAGCTGGGCTCTGGGGGCCACAGGTCAGGCTGTCAGAGAGGGCGCTGGAGGACGCGGCTGGACGAGGGCCTCCACTGCTGCTTCAGGCGTTTGCTCTGGGATCCTCTTGTGCAGCCTGAGGACACTCGCCTCACTCACCTCCCCCACCCCACGCCCAGTCCCCACCCCATTAAGTGTGGCTTCCCAGGGGTTCACGCAGGTGCCCCTACTGCCACCAGCCTGCCAGCCACCCCAGAACAGTGTATCCTGTGTGCCAGCCCAGGCCACAGCTCCCAGTGGTCCAGCAGGCTGACCCTGAGGGCATTTCCTGCTGCTGGCAGGTGTGAAGCAGGCCTGGCCCAGGGCCAGCCCACATCCCCACCTTCTCTTCAGATTTGTTTCTTCCCTGGGTAATGTCCCTTAGCCTTAGGCTCAGGGCATGCTCTTTAGGTGCCTCCTGACAGCTAACCCTGTGGACATGCTCTGCAGAGGACCTGATGCACAATATCTTTGTTTCTTGCTGGAAGATGCAGAGGTGAGCTGGGGGCAGGGAGGGACAGTGGGAGGGGCTCCCAGAGGAAGGGAATGTCTTAAAGGGTCAGTGAGGAAGCCAACTGGGAGACTAGATGCAAGAGCTACTAAGTAGCTTCTCTCCCCCTTTGAATCGCGGCTAGCCCGGGAAACACATTTTACAATTACAGAAATCGCTTCTGGGAGACCAATGGTAGTGTGGGAATGGGACTCACAGGAGGTTATATTAAGCTAAAAACAATAGAACGGAGAATACCTTGTGGATATCATCTTGTACTGTAAGACTGAGACCATGAAAACCTTGAACAAACCATCCCAAAATAGAGCAGCTTCATGGACTCTTTCCATCTTGCAATTCAACAAGGCTCATCCCACTGGCTGCTCACCTGCCCATATTTTGGAGAAATGATTAGACTTCCGTTGTTCATGGGGACTCCAGCTGTCCAAACAAGAATCAGAAGAGCTCTCTATCTACCTCTCTCCACCTCATTTCTCCATCTTTTCTTCTTAATCAGAGGTAGGCAAGGGTAGGAAGGAAAACATCCTATTTTCAAAGACTGTTTTTGCTTTATGTTCTTGGACTCTGCGTGGTCTTCGTGCAAACATCATCTTACAAATGTAAAATCTTGGTTTGAGTTTTGGAAATAACCCAATTTACCCCTTAAACTTTGCTATTTATTTTAATTAGATTATTTTGGGGTATAACATTGGTGAGTATGTGTGTGTATGTATGTATGTGTGTATGCATGGGAAATATGCTTTGTTCCAGGCATAATGCTTCTCTTACCCACAACTCAACTTAAAAGTAAATCTCATGGTCTTCCAGCTGTCCCATCTCACAGCGCCATCATTTCTGGATGTTTCTGTTCAAACACTCAGAATTCTCAGAAATAGGTTGTTCCCACCTTGATGAGCGCTGGTCTTACATATTTCTAGGAGAGAGAGCATGAATTTCACCACATGTCTTTAGATTTGCACATGCTGGCTTCACAGGCCACCCATGTAAGTCTGCAAAGAAGGGACATATGGTCCTTTGGGGGACTCTTTATTCCATAAGCATATTTACACCAACATCTACACACGCACAGGAATGCCCCCTACGTATCCAGCTGTAGCAGAGAGAGGCCTAAGAAGACAGGCCTCGGGTTGGAACTGAATCTCAGGGCACCTCCTTGTTGCCGTCAAGTCCATTGTTCTCTAGGTTGGCAAAGGTCAGGAAGACTTGTTCCAGCGTTATCTGACTGACAGAATAATCTTCTAAATTGAATTGCTCTTTCGCTTCCTCCAAAACGCCAAACACCTTCAAGGACAGAAAAGTGCAATCACCATCGCTGTCCTGCCCTCCGGCCCCAACCCAAATGAGCCTCTCCTCCACTCCCAGCCGCTGCGAAGTTCATGTGGGGAAAAGGCACAGAGGGGAGGTGGGGACATGGGAGGACGCCATAACTGAGAACCTGAGAGGAAGCAGTTCTCTGTCCCCGTTCTGTTGATGGACATGGACTAACAATGGGCTGTAGGGAGCAGAAATTGAAGCAATTAAAATCTAGGGTGTCTGAAGAGTAACCTGCAGGCTCTGCTCCTATAACAGGCTGCCATTACACATGCCTGAATAGCAAATATTTGCCCCATCATTAGTGCTCTCTTAACATGTGATGTTAGAATGGCATGATTTCTATAGTCACCTTGGACCAGCTATTGTCCTTTCTGGGAATGTAGTAGTTAAGGATCCCTTGGTTCTCCTGCTTTAATTCACTACCTAAAAAAAGAAAATATATTACACATAGGTGAGTAATCTTACAGATTTAATTTAAAATTGCCAAGATATTGCTACATTTATTAGTTATATATAATAGAACTAGGAATAGATGCCGTTATAACAAAGGCGGTATGATCAAATAGCCCACTCTCTCTGACTTACATGACATGGTTCATTCCTGTCAGCAGATTTGTTCCTGTAGAAATAGCCTTATTATGTGAGGTTTATAATAATTAAGGCTGGCTTGCAGTCACACACACACAAAATATCAGCTCACATGCCCAGTGAATGAAACTTTGCCTTCAGAAATTCTAAGGTTATCACTAGTAGACTTTATTTGTCAACATGTGCTGAGCATCTGCGCTGGGAGGATGTTCAGTCTGCCTGTGTGAGGAGGAGGAGTGTTGTACAGTGTGTTTGCTGGAGAGGAGAGCAGGACAAGCACTCCTGGCTACGATTACACACCATGTGAGAGGGGCCGCCATTCATGCACCACCCACAGGAGGCTGTATTGTTTCTTTTACAGGTAAGAAACCATTTCTAATTTAGAACGAACTGAGGTATTTACACTTAATGCATATTTGCAGATTACTGCAAATTGGATTAACTGGAATTAAAATGTATTAAAGTAAAAAAAATACATGTTTACAATGATGTGTGGCTTTTCTTAATAAGAATTTTAACACATGTATTATCTCCATGATCACATAAAGTTCTGTTTTTGCCTGTTGAAATACTTCAGCTAGCTTAATGAGTTATTCAAAGCAAACACTGATGAAACTACCTCATTTAGGTCAAGTAATAGTAACTCAGATAGTTCCATGTGCCACTTCCCAGCCCCTGGCCCCCATAAAAAATAACCAGTGCCGCCACTGGTATTGTGGACATTTCTTTTTTAGTGTCTTCTTATCTATGCATGTGCCCCTAAAAATTTAGGCAGAGTTTTCCTACTTTTGAACCTTATGTGAATGGAGTCACATAGGATACATTCTTTTCTTTCTGCTTCTTTCACTCAGATTTTGTAAGATTCATTTATGTGGTTGCATCTTGCTACAATTCATTTATTTTCCTTTCTAAACTATAATCTGGCTTCTAAATATTCCACAATGTATTTTCCATTTAGCCACTGAAACTACAGTGGGGCCTTGACTTACGAGTGTCCCGACTAATGAGTTTTTCCGAGATAGGAGCCTTCCCTCGGCTGATTTTTTGCTTTGAGTTGACAGAGTAATTTGAGTTAACGAGCTCCTTAATGAGCTCCATCACGGAACGAATTAAACTCGTAAATCAAGGCCCCACTGTATAAGAATATTAATCTCCAAAAAGACTGAGGTCTATTTCTGATGTTTCCTTGTCTGCTTTTGTTTGGAATGTATTCCTTTGTTTCCTTATTCTGCTTGTCTGTGCTTATTTCTATGTATTAGGAAAACAGTGACATCTTTCATTCTTGAAGGAATGGCCTTGTATAGGAGATAAACCTTATCACTCAACCTTGCCCTAGCTTTTGATTGTCTCTTCAACCTTTGTGATTATTTTCGTAGCCTGATTTATTATTTTTTTAAATACATTTTTATTGATTTCAGAAAGGAAGGGAAAGGAAGAGAGAGATAGAAACATCAGAGATGAGAGGGAATCATTGATCGGCTGCCTCCTGCATGCCCCCTACTGGGGATTGAGCCTGCAATCTGGGCATGTGCCCTGACCAGGAATCAAACTGTGACCTCCTGGTTCATAGGTTGATGCTCAACCACAGAGCACACCAGCCGGGCCTGATTTATTCTCAATAGGTCTCAGGTGATCCCAGCCAGCACCTACTTCTAGGCTGGGTGGAAGCCAGATCCTCAGGCAGCAGCTTTTAAAGTTGCAAATACAGTCCGGTGGGTCTGCCATTGTAAACACTGCTGATCTCTAGACCAGGAAATCTGGAAGTGACTCCTGGGTGACAGCTGCAAAAAATCGGCTTCAGATGAGTGTGTGAGTTCCTTTCTGGAAGAAACTAGTGAGCTGTGGAGAGGCCCCAGGATGGCGTCTCCCTCCCTCATTCCCTAAGCACCTCTACAGCCGCCTGATGTGAGGCCAGCCTGAAGCCTGGCCTCAGGTTTGAGCTCCAGGCTAACTGAGGAGTCTTTTTCGTAGGCAGACTGGCGTGTGTCTCCGCGCGCTGTCTGTGCAGTGCACTGGGTGCGGTCACCAGGCTAGGGGCCCAGGAACACAAGCTCCTCTGGTCACAAGGGCAGTGTGATCAAGGGAGGTCCCTGTGTGGCCTGAACTCCCAGATTTAGTGCGGCTGAGGAAAGGCGCCCACAGCCTGACCGACGCAGAGGAAGAGCACCCGAAGAGGGACGTGCCTGGCCTGCATGCCCACCTGGGCTAGCGACGGAGAGGGAGAGCACAAAAGTGGCAGCTTTCAGCACCTCCACCCCGCAAGAAAATCTCAGCTGGCCCCTGACCCTCACAGTGGTTCTCAACCTTCTGGCCCTTTAAATACAGTTCCTCATGTTGTGGTGACCCCCAACCATAAAATTATTTTTGTTTCTACTTCATAACTGTAATGTTGCTACTGTTATGAATCATAATGTAAATATCTGATATGCAGGATGGTCTTAGGCAACCCATGTGAAAGGGTCGTTCGACCACCAAAGGGGTCGCAACCCACAGGTTGAGAACCACTGCTAGTAGATGCTTTAAGATTGGGAAATGGTAAGAATTCCTTTTTTTACCGCAGTGTAGTATTCCATTGTGTAGATATACCACCATTTTTTAATCCACTCATCTGCTGATGGGCACTTAGGCTGTTTCCAAATCTTAGCTATGGTGAATTGTGCTGCTATGAACATAGGGGTGCATATAGCTTCTTGGGATATATTCCCAGAAGTGGGATCACTGGGTCAAATGGGAGTTCCATTTTTAGTTTTTTGAGGAAACTCCATACTGTTCTCCACAGTGGCTGCACCCGTCTGCATTCCCAACAGCAGTGCATGAGGGTTCCTTTTTCTTCACATCCTCGCCAGCACTTGTTTGTTGATTCGTTGATGATAGCCATTCTGAGAGGTGTGAGATGATACCTCATTGTTGTTTTGATTTGAATTTCTTGGATGATTAGTGACTTTGAGCATGTTTTCATATGTCTTTTGGCCTTCTGTATGTCCTCTTTTGAAAAGTGTCTATTTAGGTTTTGCCCATTTTTGATTGGATTGTTTATCTTCCTTAAGTTAAGTTGTATGAGTTCTCTGTCAATTTTGGAGATTAAACCCTTATCTGAGTAGCATTGACAAATATGTTCTCCCATGAAGTGGGCTTTCTTGTTTTGTTGATGGTTTCTTTTGCTTTTTATTTCGATGCAGTCCCATTTGTTTATTTTCTCCTTAGTTTCCATTGTCCTAGGAGCTGTGTCAGTAAAAATATTGCTTCGACATATGTCTGATATTTTGCTGCCTATGGATTCTTCTAAGATTTTTATGGTTTCCCATCTTACGTTTAAGTCCTTTATCCATTTTGAGTTTATTTCTGTGTATGCTGTAAGTTGGGGGTCTAGTTTCATTTTTTTGTATGTTTCTGTCCGATTTCCCCAACACCATTTATTGAAGAGGCTGTCTTGACTCCATTGTATGATCATACCTCCTTTGTCAAATACTAATTGAGCATAATGGCTTGGGTCGATTTCTAGGTTCTCTGTTCTGTTCCATTCATTGGTCTATATGTATTAGGCCAGAACCAGGCAGTTTTGAGAACAGCGGCTTTGTAATATAGCTTGATATCTGGTAATGTGATCCCACCAACTTTGTTCTTCTTTCTCAGGATTGCTGAGGCTATTTGGGGTCTTTTTTTATTCCAGATGAATTTTTGGAGAGTTTGTTCTCGGTCTGTGAAATATGCCATTGGTATTTTAATGGAGATTGCATTGAATCTGTAGATTCCTTTGGATAGTATGGGCATTTTAATGATGTTGATTCTACCAATCCATGAACACGGCATATTCTACCATTTGTTTATATCTTCCTCTATCTCTGTTTTCAATGTCCTGTAGTTTTCTGAGTACAGGTCTTTTACCTCCTTAGTTAAATTTATTCCTTGGTATCTTAATTTTTTGTTGCAATGATAAAGGGAATGTTTTTTTTAGTTTCTCTTTCTGTGAGTTCATTATTGGTGTATAAAAAAGCCATAGATTTCTAGTTGTTAATTTTGTATCCTGCTACATTGACAAATTCTTTTATTAAGTCTAATAGTTTTTTGATGGAGTGTTTGGGTTTTTTATGTGAATGATGACAGTTTTATTTCTTCTTTTCCAATTTGGATGCCTTTTATTTATTCTTCTTTTCTGATCACTATGGCTAGCACTTCCAGTACTACGTGTAACAGGAGTGGTGAAAGTGGGCATCCCTGTCTTGTTCCTGTTTTTAGGGGAAATGGTTTTAGTTTTTGCCCATTGAGTATGATTTTGGCTGTAGAGCATTATGCTAAGCAAAATAAGCCAGTCGGAGAAAGATTAATATCATATGATCTCACTCATTTGGGGTAATATAATGAATAACATAAACTGATGAACAAAAATAGAGCCAGAGAAAAAAATTATTCTAGAATATAATAGAAGTAATCCTGTTATTTGTAGTTTTTTTATATTTCCTATAACTTTTGTGATATTATACTATGTTAGTACAGTTTTGGTAATATTATTATATTAATTTTTTTCTTGAAATATTAATGTTTATTGCATGTAACATTATTATATTTAAAATAATTTTTCTTGAAATATTAAAAATAATAAAATAAAATAAAGATATTTTAACTAAAAAAATAAAAAAGAGTACCTACCAAATAGAATTGTAATGGGTATTAAATGTGTTCATAGTGATAAAGCATTTAGTGCCTGACACATACTGTTATCCTAATATTAATTAAATGATAAATCTTCTTTGTTAAGTTCCCAAGATAAAACTCTTGACACATGGATATAGTTGTTCAGAGAATGGACACATTTTTATGCTACTTTCCAAGCCTCA